ATAATTTTGCTCATATAGTTCTGGCTTTCAAAGTTTTGAATAATTCCATCCCACTCAGTTTCTTTTTTTTCATACTTGACCAAAAGAACATACTAGAAACAAGTTACCTACCTTCTCTTTTCAAATGATCTCGCTAATGCTGCCAAGTTAAATTGGAATTATTTATCAACTAACATAAAACTCAATTTTAAAGACGTAAAGCTAAGAAAAGAGAATTCTTTAGCTTTTCTCCTTTTGTATGTTAATAGACAAAAAGTGAGGATACTTTGAGATACTCAGTCTAATACACGAAAGTTATCTGAAGAATGCTACTTATGTTTGCTAAACATAGTGAACATACGAAACTATAAAAATATCCTTACCAAAATCAGCTATCTTTGCATTCATATGTGCATCAAGCAGGACGTTTTCAGGTTTCAAATCTCTATGGACCACCATATGCCTGTGACAATAATCTACACCAGAAAGGATTTGTTGGAACAGACGTCGACTTTCTTTTTCATCGAGCTAAGAAAAGCAGAGAGTCATCTTAAAGGTGTGTCTTTCAAAATAAATTCTCCTACCTACAATTCTCCAACCTATAAAATTGTCAAAATGCATGAAACCTTCCAAATGATTTTTACTCATGAGATATGTTTGACATGGGGAGGAGGAGATAACATGCAGCACAAAACAGAAATGCTAAGCAGATCCTGGAAACCAAATCTGCAACTTCACTTTCTAATGATATCGTTTACATATGACTACACTGTATTAAACTGGCTTCCTCTACATCTCATTAGCTTTTTCAAATGGTTCCAATTTCTACTTGAAACTTGGCATGTTTTGTCCTATAAATTGGAAATGTTTAATCTTTCATTCCTTTAACAAATATTTATTGAATACCTTCAATGTGCTATACACGGTTTTAGATAATTCATTATATAGCAGTGAATAAAACTGAAGCCCTAATTTAATTGATGAAAACAGACAAATAAATGTAATGTCAAGGAGTGACAGTGCTTTGAAGAAAAATAAAGCAAAATATGAGTACAGAAAGTGATGTTGGGATGGGGAATACTATTTTAAGACTATGAGGAAATAACATTTAAGCACTGTTCATCAACTGAACTTGCAAGCAACCATGTTGTTATATGTCCTGAAATAAAAAATGTTTTAATCTTAACAAAAAACCTTAATTCATTT